TCAACCGTGCATAACATCATCAAAAGATTCAGAGAATCTGGAACAATCGCTGTGCGTAAGGGTCAAGGCCGTAAAACTCTACTGGATGCTCGTGATCTCCGGGCCCTTAAATGTCACTGCACCTCAAACAGGAATGCCACTGTCAAGGAAATAACAGAATGGGCTCAGGAATACTTCCAGAAAGCATTGTCAGTGAACACAATCCACCGTGCCATCCGCCGTTGCCAGCTGAAACTCTACAGTGCAAAGAGGAAGCCATTTCTAAGCAAGCTCCACAAGCTCAGACGTTTGCACTGGGCCAGGGGTCATTTAAAATGGAGTGTGGCAAAATGGACGACTGTTCTGTGGTCAGATGAGTCACGATTTGAAGTTCTTTATGGAACACCGGGACGCCATGTCATCCGGACCAGAGAGGACAAGGATAGCCCAAGTTGTTATCAACACTCCATTCAGAAGCCTGCATCACTGATGGTATGGGGTTGCATGAGCGCATGTGGCATGGGCAGCTTGCATGTCTGGAAAGGCACCATTAATGCAGAGAACTATGTTCAGGTTCTAGAACAACATATGCTCCCATCTAGACGTCATCTCTTTCAGGGAAGACCCTGCATTTTTCAACACGATAATGCCAGACCACATTCTGCAGCAATCACAACATCATGGCTACGTAGGAGAAAGATCCGGGTACTGAAATGTCCAGCCTGCAGTCCAGATCTTTCACCTATAGAGAACATTTGGTGCATCATAAAGAGGAAGGTGCGGCAAAGAAGGCTCAAGACGATTGAACAGTTAGAGGCCTGTATTAGACATGAATGGGAGAGCATTCCTATTTCTAAACTTGAGAAACTGGTCTCCTCTGTCCCCAGACGTCTGTTGAGTGTTGTAAGAAGAAGGGGGGATGCCACACAGTGGTAAAAATGGACTTGCCCCAACTTTTTTGGGATTTGTTGACGCCATGAAATTTGGAAACAACAGATTTTTCCCTTAAAATGATACATTCTCTTAGTTTAAACTTTTGATCTGTGATTTGTGTTCTATTCTGAATAAAATATTAGATGTTGGCACCTCCACATCATTGCATTCAGTTTTTATTCACAATTTGTTTAGTGTCCCAACTTTTTTTGGAATCCAGTTTGTATATCTTAGATCCTTATATAACTTTTCATTTTAAACTTTATATTTTTGCTATTTTAGGTGTAACTGGGACTTTGAATACACAATTTCGTTCCACCTCATGTACCACATGTGATGAGAATGACAATAAAGGTGACTTGAACTTGAACAAACTGGATGTTGATGGTTTCCTCACTGTTGTGTTCTGTTGTTGTTGCATGGAAAGAACACCAGAGGGCGCTCCAGGACTGTTTGTAAAATACAATGCTGCGTGCAGCGAGTGACGGTGAAGGGAGGTGGAACGACAGTAAACGGAGAGAACTGAAGCTGCATGTCTGCTTATTTTTATTTTAATTCAACCTTGACCCACACAACACTCACATTAACTGCAGCTTCAGGTCCTTCCACAACATCTGGATTGGATTAAGGTCAGGACTTGTCTGTTCCAAAACATGAACTTTATTCTTCTTGAACCATTCTTTGGTAGAACATCTTGCGTGTTTAGGGTCATTGTGTTGCTGCATGACCCGCCTTCTCTTCAGATTAACTTCATGGACAGATGTTCTGACATTTTCCTTTAGAATTCTCGGATATAATTCAGAATTCATTGTTCCATCAATGATGACACACCATCCTGGCCCAGATGCAGCAAAACAGGCCCGAACCATGAAACTACCATCACCATGTTTCACAGATGGGATCAGGTTCTTATGCAGGAATGCAGTTTTCCTTTCTCTAAATGTAACACTTTTCATTTAAACCAGAAAGTTCTATTCTGGTCTCATCTGTCCACAAAACATTCTTCCAATAATCTTCTGGCTTGTCCATGTGATCTTTATCAAACTGTAGATGAGCAGCCGTGTTCTTTTTGGAGAGCAGTGGTTTCTCCTTCAACATGATATGTCAGGAAGTATCAGACAACACTCTGTGACGTGATGTTGCTTTTCTGGCTAGCACCTTACGTACAAAGTTCAACACAGTAGACAAACAGTCTGGCAACAGGCAAACGGAGAAAACGCACAATATGCAGGTGCAATTAAATAAAGTTGGAGTATCGTGAAAAAGTTCAAGTTTTTTGTTGATCACGTCAGAAAGTGAAACTCATATTTTACATAGATTCACTACACAGAGTGAAATATTTCAAGCCTATATTTCCTGTAATTTTATGATTATGATGTACAGATAATGAAAAACTAAAACAGTGTCTCAGAAAATGAGAATATTCCACAGCCAGCTGATGGTCAGTGTGGGCCAGAGCCGAGTTCTGCTGCAAAATGAAACCAGCGTCTCCATGAAGCTCATCAGCAGAAGGAAGAATGAAGTCTCTAAAATGTCCTGTTAGATGCTGGTGGACTGGGGACTTCAGAAAACCCCAGTAGACCAGAACCAGCAGAGAACATGGACCCAAACGATCAATGACTGGAAACTTCTCTCTGGACTTGAACAACGTGGATTCTGGACTTCCCCACTCCTCCAGACTCTGGGACTTTGATTTACAAATGCCTTGAAGAAATATGTTCAGCTGAAAAGACAAAAAAGGACATTGGTCCTCTGAGCAACAGTCCAGTTCTTTTTGTCCTCAGCAGGTGAGACGCTTCTGATGTCTCTGGATCAGGAGTGTCTGGACTTGAGGAATGAGACGTTTGTAGCTCATGTCCAGGAGTTAATCAGCTGATCAGGGTGAGACACCAGGAGTTTACAACAATGAAGCTCTTCACCATGTTTCCTGATGCATGCTCAATAATCCAGGTAGAAAAATCTAAAAAAAGTTCAGTCTGGTCCTCTGGACATTCAAAAAAACAAAAAACAAAACAAAAAAAATGTAGAAACGTTTCGTCTCTCATCCGCGAGACTTCCTCAGTCTGAGGTGCTGTATTCAGCTCAGTCTCTTAAATAGCACCTTCTCAGAGTGGATCAACCAGTTTGCTGCTGACAACCAAAACCAGCTGCTCACATGCTCAAGAAGGACCATCAGCCAGGGCCAGATTAACACTTTGCTGTACCCTGGGCAACAATCTTCAAGGGCCCCATCATCACGACCCCAGAATCACCATAATCTGGCAAAATACAGAATAAATTACCACAATATACAGTAAATATACTTAAAATTCTAACTATCAAGTGTATTTTTATATACAAAACTCCAAATGCTCATTGACACAAATCATCAAGACTGAATTAAGTTGAACGCACTTTGAACACCACATGACACCATATGTGTACTTGTTTAGTAACGTGCTGGACACTGGTGTCAGAAGCATTTATAATGTGTGGGGGTGGGGGGGTGAGACATACTGATGGGGTGGGGGGACACACTGGTGGGAGGGTCTGGGGGTCCTCCCCAGAAAATTTTGAATAAAGTAGATGCCATTTCCTGCATTCTGGTGTATTTTAATGGTTGTTTAACATCTAGTTTTACCTACACAAGTAAACACTTGGAACACCTTGGGATTCCCCTGGAGGAGCTGCCTAAATCTCCTAAAGTGAAGGAGAATCATTTTAAAATAATAAATAAGATATATCCTGTAGCCATGTTTCTGCAAAGATGATTTAAATTTGATGTTGATTTGTGTGCCCTTTGTAAATCACAAGATGAATCCCTCGAGTATGTTTTTTTCATGTTAGTACAAAGTGTTTGGTCAGACATCAGAAACTGGATTAATCTCAAACTTAACATTCCTTCTTTTGATGCTGATGACATTTTACTTTATGTGGATAACTGAAGCTCAGCTTTCTCTGATGTCATAAATATAGTTGTACTTATGGCAAAGTATCACATTCACTGTAGTAAGAGGACACATAATAATCCCTCCTTCCTGTTTGATGAACAATTTTAAGTCGTACTATTCTTCATGAAGTAGATTAAAAATCTGCAAAACTGCTAAAATCATCTCACAACAGATTCAAACTTATTGTTTTAATTAAAACAATGTTTCTCAAGAAAAAAAACTGATGAGCTTGTCAGCAGGTAAGGGGCGTTTACCTTCGGGACAAATTGAGGTTGTCGATTGGTCAGTTACTGACACGCCTTCTGAGTTGATTGACAGGTCGCGCCGTCGAGGATCCGATTGAAAAAAAAAAAAAAAAAACGAGAGCTGCAGCAGCCGCGCTGGGAGGAGGTGGGGCTGCACAAATGCAGTGGAAGTGCAGCAGAGCTCCAAGTAAAGCAGGAGATAACCAGATATTTTGCTTGTGCCCTCACTTCCCTGGGCCCCTTAGAGATCGTGGGCCCCTGGGCAGTTGCCCATATGGTTAATCCGGCCTTGCCATCAGCCTAACAATGGATCATTAGCACACTGATGGCTGTTTACTGTTCACAGAGGGTTGAGTGATACTAGCAATCACAACATTGTAAGAGGGGGACAGTTGAACCCGGAGGCCTCCACCCCTGTTTAATGATGGACGGTTTCTTTTCACAAAGATGGCCTCCTTTACTCCTCTCTCAAACCATCGTTCCTCTCTGTCCAGGATGTGAACATCTTCATCCCTGAAAGAGTGACCGCTGGCCTGGAGATGAGTGTAGACCGCAGAGTCCTGGCCTGATGATGTTGATCTTCTGTGCTGGTCCATCCTTTTGGCCAGTGGCTGTTTAGTTTCCCCGATGTAAGACTGATCACAGCCCTCCTGACACTGAACAGCATACACAATATTACTCTGTTTGTGCCGGGGGACTGGATCTTTGGGATGAACCAGTCTTTGCCGTAATGTATTTTGGGGTTTAAAAGCCACTGGGACGTTATGTTTAGAAAATAAACGTCTCAGTTTCTCTGATACTCCCTCAACATATGGAATGACCACTGGTCTGGGTCTGGGTTCCTCCTTTTCACCTGTTGGCTGACTGGAGTCCTGTTTAGGTTTCTTCTCTGCTTTCAGGAAGGCCCAGTTAGGATATCCACATTGCTCTAGAGCCTGTTTTGTGTAGGATTTCTCCTTCTGCCTGGCTCCTGAGTTAGTGGGGATGCTGTCTGCTCTGTGGTACAGATTCCTGATGACTCCCACCACCTGCACTGGGTCAAGGGGGCATCCAAGCACTGAGCTGGTCTTCTTGATGAGCTTATCTAGCTTCTTCTTCTCAGCTGATGATAAGCTGCTGCTCCAACACACAACACCATAGAAGATGGCTGATGCCACTACCGAGTCAAAGAAGGTCTTTTGTTCAAGTCATTTTTCTGAAGTTCAAAATAAGGGAATAGACTGAAGAACATTGACAGGTATGGGGGAAAAAGTGAAACAGCTGACTGTCTTGTAATCTTGTACAAGTTTAAACAAACTGGTGAGTCTTTTTGCTCTTTGTTTCTGTTCGTATCATCGGTTACAGTGTTGGTTATTGAGTAAAAAAATGCTGAAGCAGTCAGAGTTCCTTTCACTAGAACTAAGGGGCCAAGCCCAGCTCCTGATAAACAACCCCACACCTTAACCCCCCTCCACCAAACTTTACACTCGGCACAATGCAGTCAGACAAGTACCGTTCTCCTGGCAACCACCAAACCCACACTTGTCCATCAGATTGCCAGATGGAGAAGCGTGATTCATCACTCCAGAGAACGTGCCTCCACTGCTCTAGAGTCCAGTGGCGTCGTGCTTTACACCACTGCATCCCACACTTTGCACTTGGTGATGCATGGCTTGGATGCAGCTGCTCGACCATGGAAACCCATTCCATGAAGCTCTCTGCTCACTGTTCCTGAGATAATCTGAAGGCCACATGAAGTTTGGAGGTCTGTAGTGATTGACTCTGCAGAAAGTTAGCGACCTCTTCGCACTACGCTCTTCATCATCCGCTGACCGCGCTCCGTCAGTTTACGTGTCCTACCACTTTGTGACTGAGTTGCTGTCGTTCCCAAACACTTCCACTTTCTTATAACACAGCTGACAGTTGACTGTGGAATATTTAGGAGCGAGGAAATTTCACGACTGGATTTGTTGCACAGGTGGCATCCTATCAGTTCCACGCTGGACTTCACTGAGCTCCCGAGAGCGACTCATTCTTTCACAAATGTTTGTAAAAACAGTCTGCACGCCAAGGAGCTTCATCTTATACACCTGTGGCCATGGAAGAGTTTGGAACACCTGATTCTGATCATTTGGATGGGTGAGCAAATACTTTAGGCAATGTAGTGTATATGTACAAATATTTATGTTTATATATATATATATATATATATATATATATATATATATATATAGTGTATATGTATATGTATTATTCTTCCCTCGCTCTGGTTGCTAGCCAATTCAATTCAAAAATACTTTATTAATCCCAGATGGAAATTACAGTGCCTTGCGATAGTATTCGGCCTCCTTGAACTTTTCAACCTTTTTCCACATTTCAGGCTTCAAACATAAAGATATAAAATTTTATTTTTTTGTGAAGAATCAACAACAAGTGGGACACAATCGTGAAGTGGAATGAAATTTATTGGATGTGTCAAACTTTTTTAACAAATAAAAAACTGAAAAGTGGGGTGTGCAATATTATTGGGCCCCTTTACTTTCAGTGCAGCAAACTCACTCCAGAAGTTCAGTGAGGATCTATGAATGATCCAATGTTGTCCCAAATGACTGAGGATGATAAATAGAATCCACCTGTGTGTAATCAAGTCCGTATAAATGCACCTGCTCTGTGATAGACTCGGGGTTCTGTTCAAAGTGCAGAGAGCATCATGAAGACCAAGGAACACACCAGGCAGATCCGAGATACTGTTGTGGAGAAGTTTAAAGCCGGATTTGGATACAAAAAGATTTCCCAAGCTTTAAACATCCCAAGGAGCACTGTGCAAGCAATCATATTGAAATGGAAGGAGTATCAGACCACTGCAAATC